CACTTTCATAAAAAATATTTTTATATATAGAAAGGCGATGAGTTTCTACGGACTACTTCAGGAGACCCACTTATATGTGCAATGGAGGCATTAAGATTGAATCAGGCACCACAATACAGAGTTCGCCTCGTTTTTACACTTTTTCAGCGATATTTTGAGACCTCGTGACACTTAAAACAACGTTGTTCCTTTAAAAAAAGAGTAACGCGTACTGCCGTGATACTCTGCCACCTCCTACTTCAGACTTGCAGTCACCTTCACTTGCATTATGAATGCAACGACTTTTCAAAAAATCTACCTAAACACCATACGCACCCTCGGTGCGACACTGTCACTTTTGCAAAAAATTCAACAATTAGTTAAATATGTAATAATTGTCCTAAAGCCCCCTTTACTTGGTGCGATAATGTTACTTTTGTAGATTAATCATACAGAACTATGTTCCGTATGATTCATCTCATCTGTATCTTCTAAAGTCATTGTTTTGTGAGGTGGCAGAGTTTAAAACTCTTCTCCTGAAAAACTACATTTTTGCATAAGTGACAGTGTCGCACCGGGAGTGCGATATATTTACTTTTCATTACATAAAGTACAAAAGTAAACTTTATTTATTGTTTATAGAGTTTAGATGTAGGTATATGATCAGAAAATATTCACTAAATTTCAGACTTCAATAAAACAATTTTTTTGTTGACCTGTAATCCATCAGTGTCACTGAATAAAGATTTGAAATATATAGGTATATAAATTAAAAAAATAAGACCAGCGGTTAACCCCAGATAGAATTGTAATCTACGTGTTAACTCACCCTTAACCTCGAGGAAATCTTTTGACATTGATAACACTATATATTGTACCTATAGGTACACAATAAAACTATTTTGTATAGTAAATTGTGTACATCCACAGCTCTTTTCACCAAACATGTTATTTACCAAATAAGATTAAGAACGTGAACGAGAGTCACTTGCATCTTACATAAATAATACTTTTTCAAAAATATAATGCATTGTTAAAAATTCCCACTTATCGATTGATGTTTTCTTACCTTTCTTGTATCTTTATTAAAACAAAAATTTTCTTGTAATACAGCAGTTGACAATATAAAAGCGTAATACATAAATTTCATTATGTTTTTTTTTTAAATATCTAATTTTGTTAACTATTAACATCCACTGCTTATTAAATTCTTCTGTACTATTTTTTAATGAACATATATTATTGGTATAATTTTGTGAAGGGACACTTATACATTATTAGTAGGGTCACTCAAACGTGAATTCCGATTAACGTTTTTTTTATTACAAATATATAACAAATGGCGGTTTAATATCTACCCGGCAAATCGCATTATTAATATCATACAATATGTTTTGATATAAGAATAATTTTTTTTTTCAAAATTTGGTTAACTGGATCCGTAGATTGGTATATTGGCATAGATTGCCTTAACGCTCTAGCCATAGTATATGATATCTTGTCAATGTTATGGCGATATTCATTTTATTATTAATCCTACTCAGATAATGACGAACGAATGATATACAATGATGATTATGAATTCAAAAGCAGTGTTACCAGTTTAGTCATTTATACCTTTATTCACCAAAAGACATGTCAAAATAGTATAAACAAGACGTACCATGACAAACTGGAGAAACGCTTTGTCCACATCAAATGTCGCTTATGTACAAATGTCATTTAAATGAGATATCATAAAGATGCACCTGAGAAAAGTCACTTAAGTAATAGCATTTTTGAGATTAATATTTGGAGATACGGCGCTATGTTGGCAAAACTGTTGCTCTCTTTATATGCAGGCTTAAATGTAACCTCACATCTAATTACGGTCGCCTGGAATATCTTAGTCATTTGTGCATTTACGTTTATATTGATAATAGAAAATTGTTACATTCTATGCAACAAATTAAAAGTCAAATATTTTTAATATTCGTAACAGGACTGATGATGATATTTTTCGAACAAATAATCTGTATTTTCACTTGTAGACAACATCTCAAGTCATCGTATGAGTACTGTTACAATAACTGTACTCTTGAACGCAATCCTGATTATTGTAAAATATTCTTAATGAAAAATGCTTAGAAAATCCACCTTGTCCCTGGCACTGTGAGACGTGACTCGGACCAACGACCTCGATCAATCTCGCAATCTCGATGTCAATTTTTAACCATGCCAATTGTAAAAGAAACCGAGCCACGCCGCGATAACAGCGCCACCAACGGAGAAACGAAACAACCTTCCCGTCCCTCGCGGTGCGGGGTAGCGTACCCCCACTCCTAGGAATCTTATTAGAATAGCTGATTTATGTATGAGCTAAGTACGATCGATCAAATTGTATATAGGAAATCGATTTTGTGCAATAAAGCATGTTCTGTTCTCCGAGTTCTCCTAACCAGTGTTTTACTCGAAACCCCTGCTACCTGCCCGCCTACACATCCTGCTTGACCCAGCGTGCTACAGTCTAACTGCTACACTAATAATGATCTCAATTTTCGTCAAATCTTAGTTCGTACTCTTGAAACATAGACTCAATACTTAGTCTATGTAAATAAGATCATTCAACAACCAAGCAAAATTTATATTTTGGCGCTAGTGTATCAAATCAAGAGTACGTAATGTCACAATTGCAATGTCCGTCAATTGCGTTCAAGAGTAAGCATGCTGTTTCCATTTAGTTTCTAGATTAATTTTACACTAACATAATGAATCAAACTACAGTTAAACTTAAAGCTTATAAAATATAATATCACATTTTATGTCATTTGTATTTCTTAGACCACATTTAAAATTGAGTAGCTCGGCGGTGTAGCAGACAAGCGCCATAGGCCGAGAGCGTTATTTTTAAGAAACTTTTGCAAGGTGAGTCAGGGGATGGGTGACTAAAAATACTATCTGCAGCAGCTACGCCGTGCTTCACAAGGCACGTTAAGCAGTTAGTCCCGGCTGTATTTGCAGTTAGAGTCAGTATCTTAGAATTTAGTTGTTAGTAGTTGATGTATATTATTTGCAAATAAAATCGAAGGTTAAGAAGAATTATACCAGGATTTCAAGGCGCCATCTAGAGCTACTGCTGATCCCACCATTAGAACATATTTTTCGATAATATAATAAACTACCTCCGTCGCATTATATATTATCGAAAAATATGTTTCTTTGGAGCTGTAGTGGCATTTCGAAAATAGACGTCATTTTTTAAGAAACGTATCATGTTCATTCGTAGGTACAGTAGTAATACAATAGAAATAGATTTAATACGTATATGTTTCAATCTAGAAGTATAAGTACCGTAAATTGCTAATGCGCTGGAACCTGGAACACCCACGTGACGCCGTATGAAAATAGAATGTATAGATAGCACAAAAAGCAAGAAATAAATTATTTAATGAATATTGAAATATTTATGAATAATCCCCAAAATATTGTTATAATAATATAATAACTCTTAAGGTTGTTAATTTATTGCATGAATTTTTAGAAATTATTAATGAAATGAGATTCATTAGATATAGGTATTAATAATTAGATAAATAATGTTTACTTGTTGTTAAAATCAATAAAACAGTCGTTTTTAGTCTAGTATCTAGTCATCTATAGCAAGTAATAACAAAACTTATGTAACAATAACAATCGAAAGCAACAATAATGATGAGTATTCTCAATATAACCAAACTCCATAAGTGTACTCGTCTACTAGTGTTTATTTGTAAAGCGTACTGATTTTTAAACGCAATGACGTCATCAAAACGGCGGTTAGGCGCATTAGCAATTTGCGGGGATTATACACGTTTGCATAAACGTGACGATAATAAATAATAATAATTATGAATACTTATATTCAGTAAGATAATTTTTATTAAAAAATATTAGTCCCTTTAATTTATTAAGACCTTTAGGGCTTAACACATTTGTTTAATGTTGGGCTGATATTATAGTGCCATTTCTGCCATCAGAGCCCCCCGCGACAGCTTCCACTACATGAATTGGTACTCTTATGCACATGACTGCAGCATTATTCTGGTCCACTATTCTAAACTCGACGGTGGCTTGAGTTCCCTGGAAGGAAAGAAAATTCTTTAAACATTTTCCTCTTATCTTCTTTTTTCAAAAGAAAGTATTTTCTCTCTCTTTTGAAATAGGTATATGCATTCAAGTTAGTCAAATAGCTATGAAAATTCGTCACCGACCGCACTGAAGGAAGTGTGATAATGAATTTTAGATTTGTTTATATGAAACATTTCTATGTTCTCCCCTTCACGTTAGTACTCGTCAAAGTATTAATTTCATTTGCCTCCTCCAGTTCGGATTAATATGCTATCGTCGTTAATACAATTTTGATACCCTATATCGGATCCATTCTTTTTCTATACAATGTTTAAAGTAAATAAGTCATATCTGTTTTAGCATAATTTTATTTGACAATTATACTAAAACAGATATATCTATGTCTAATTTTTCAGTTGTTTTTTTGTGCATAGAGTTTGAGAATTGATTAATTTAAAAAAAAGTATTCTATGTTCCATGTAAAAATTTTTGTATTTAAAATATTAGTAAAAAGGATTATTAACAAACCACTGGAAAGAATGGTTCAATGTACATTGTAAGCTGATAGATCAGGATTTCCCCTTTAATGACGGGCACGAGGAATTCTGAAGACATTTGCATGTGACCACGTTGTCACCCAAAGGATATGGTACTTAGTATAATACCAAGAAATGCTGTAGCTAATGTGGTCATATTTGCATGCACGAGCTGCAAAAAAATAATGATATAAGATGGGTAAAAGTTTTATTTGTCATCATACAGTAACGAAAATACACACTAATTGTAAGTCAGAATAAGATAGAGAGAAAAACATGTATGGTATAAAATGTTAGAGTAAGTCGGTCCTTGATCCCCTAAACTTTAGGGCCTAAAGTAAAGATTAAATGGGAACCAACTGCAACAGCGCTGGTACTCTGGTAAACAAATAAGCTTACGAGCTCTGAAGACGATATTCAGCACAGCATCTTGTAGTTGCGGCAGGCGACATGGTGGTGTAACGCAGCCTTCAATGTGGACATTCAGCGGCAGCTCCCCAGGGAACACATTACCTAGAAAAATATATATAGATCAAAAAAGATTTTCAATGTTCAATCATTAATTTTTTAACATAAAAGAAAGTCGTTTATGGTGAAAAATGTGCCGCGGCATCCGAATGAAGCAAAAAATTACCTGGTTGATATGATAATAAATCTGTCCAAGAATATAGGCTGATATAAAAGACGTTTACGGAATTCGCGGAAAAAGAGAAGGAAGACCTTAAAAACTCACCAATAATCGTAGAGATCTCGTCTACAATTTTGAAAAATGATTTTTCAATGCAGAGCGCTTAGTGTAAGTTTTTTTGACGTTTACGTTCACTGTCGATCGTGAGCGCGTTAAGATTTTAGTATGGAATCCGGTACAGCGCCCCTAGCGGTAACTACCAAGAACTACAAATCTCCATACAAATTCTTAACGCGCTCACTAGTGAACGCGTTAGCGTAAAACTTACACTTACCACTCTGTTGTTCATAAAGCGCTATTTTTTTAATCCATTGTAAACACCGAAAGTGAGTCTTTATACACGTGTTAAATAAAAATGTACTGAAATCCTTTACTGCACACGTGCTTAAAAGTATGTTTTTTATTTTTTTTTGGCCGAGCACCAAAGAAATTAAAAAAAATATTGATGAAAATATGTCAAACTTCAGAGGCAAAAGTATTTCAAGGAGCCTAGAACGAATATTTTCAAATAAAAATGTATGTCACGAAAACATGGTCAAATATCACGTTTAATTTTAACAAATAATTTTTACCTTTAATACATACTTAGTTTTATTAGCCTATATATTTGTTTTATTTCCTCGTAAAAAGCATTGAAAAATGATGTAAGAAACTTGAGCGTAAAAGGTTTTGTAAAACCTTACTTTCCGCACTCGTATCTTAAATAACTATTGTGAAGATGTGTAAAGTTTTTAATACTAAACATAAGCCAAAATTTTGTGCCTACGAAATTTAGAAGACACCCCTATATTTGTCTCGGAGCATCTGACAGCGAAGGCCTCCCGTCTTTATTTTCTGGCACGTGATCTCGTCAAATCAAGCTCATATAAGTTCTGCTGGACTTCGTATGGGAAAATCTACAGAAGAAAGGAAGAAAACTCCAGAATCATATTAATAAAAAGCGAAGCTCAAATACAACAAATTATTAACGATATATGACTAGATTTAGTTATAATTAAGGTAATATTATTCTTTGTAATTGTCTTCAGTAATTTCACATATACACACAAACTAATACTTACACAAACTTATCAAAATACATATTTCTTTCAATCGACAAAAACATACACACAATTATATAGTACACATAATCTCTTTCTCACGACATTCATTCTCACTTATAAACTTACGCAACCACTAATATATATTACACTCTATAATAATTTCTGTCAGTCATTATGCAAGTAAATACACAATTACCTGTAAATGAAATTGATGAAGTAAGAATTGTAAACTCTTTTGAATGTGAAATAAATAATCTAAGAAAATATATAGAAATAACAAAAAAAAAATGACTTAACCTTCATCTCACAAAATATAAGAAGTATACATTGTAATTTGGCAATATTGGCAATGAATTTGCATCAGTACCTGTAGCTCACTCAGTTCAAGTTATGCAAACTTGAGAACTGTTTTATAGTACATAAAATACTCCCAACGCAAATGGTTCATTTGGTGAGACATAAAAAATCATATATACATATTCTCCTTGGTCAACAGCAAGGGTACACAGAATTCCCGTATTATATTTGTGAATGAGATAGTAGAGCAAGAAACTTACATTGGGAAATATCTGATTGGCGTATTAGACCAAAATTGGAGGTTGGAGTAAAAAAGTCATTAACTCGGCTTTGATAGACCCCAAGAGCTACTTCCACCACTTCACATCAAACTTGGTCTAATGAAACAGTTTGTTAAGGCATTACCACAAGACTTTATTTTTTTTATTACAAGACTTTATTTACCACAAGACGTATTTCATTTCATAACTTCTTTTGACAAACTCAACGTTTTTTTTCTACAAAAAATATAAAGCATCGTTCTAACAACACGCACCAAGCGCATTTTTATCGTCAACTCGTCTAGGGTTAAATTGATATGATTAAATACAAGACATCAAATCAAATCAAATAATTTATTGGCCATATAACTCAGAAGGTTACACTTGGCAAGTCTTTTACAATAAGCATTTTAAATTAAATTTAGAGGTTTAAATCATGCAGGTCAAATCATTGTAGGGATGTCAAATAAATTAAGTATTTTAACAATGTCAAAATGGGTATTTTTACGATTCTTAATAATAAATTATATCACAGTCAATTAAATAATAACATTACAAATTAAGTTATATTATATATAACTCTATTATCACAAATAAGATTATACAAACATGTAGGTAATATATAATTTTATGTCATAAAGTACTGGCAGACGCACATACAGGTAGACATCGCGATGACGAATGTAAGGTAAGGTCACCAAATAAGGCCTACCATAATTTTTTTATTACCTTACTAGCAGGTTTATAATAAAAATGCACTGGTAATTTGAAATACTTATATTTATTTATTAAACTTTGTAATAAAAATAACAAAATTGCTTTAGAAACAAAAATCACACTTTTGTGAACAAAAATAACGTAAATGTCATATAGGCCTTATCGGGAACCCTGTGTCTTAATAAAGCCTTAATAAAAACAAAGAAGCATTCAACTTCTTATTATTACAAAACGTCGTTAATACTCATATTAAATCTAATGAGATCCTATTAATTACTTTTCGTCATTTTAGATCAGACTTAACGAGTTTCTAAGCATGTAAATGAACTATATTAATCAGCCTTTTTCATCTTTTTTTTAAATCAAACAATCTCCTGAACAGTAAAATATTTTATCAGCGGGTGTGAGTCCAACACACAGCTCATGATACCAAACGCCACATGTAAGACATTGTCGCATATCCTCAACTCGATCTTCCTTACAAGCTGGACAGTACCAAGAAGATTTATTATCGTGACTTTTTCGTTTAGATCCCGTAAGCCTGTCTGCTGTCAAAAAAGCAGCCTTTACCGAGGTTCGCTTTTGCGTTGCAGCAACTGCAGACTGTGTACAGCCAGTAACTGACGCTGATTTTGGTGTCTTTGTGGAAGAAGTGCCAGGAACATCTTCTACTCTTGACGATGGTACAGTAATCTGTGATATGGAATTCGTAGCATTGTCACCAAATAAGTCTTTTGTTACCTCTTGAGCCCTGTAATTCATAGACTTCTTGCGTGGAGCAGTCGCTTTAACTTTAAACTTAGGAGTTGGTAAAAATTCATGAACTTCACACGTGGTTGATTGATTGTCTAATTTATGTGGAGTTCTAGCATTCGGATTGTTTTTTGAGAGCAAGGACAGTGGGAAATTCTCAGTATCTGTGCCTGAGTCATCTGAATCTTCCACATTTGCAGTTGAAATCTCTTGTTCCCCCGATTCTTCAGATAAGACAGCAATATTCTCACTGCTTGTAGGATTTGGAAGTTCTGACAACGCAGAGGGCGCAAACGCCTCTTCAGGAATAGCATCTGGGTTATATGGATACAACCCTGTAGCACGAAACCCATTCGAGATATTGGTAATAGTCATACATTTCGGCCATACTTGTGAGAGAATGACATTGAAGCTTGTTTTGTTAAGGGTTCGTTCGGGATGCTGACTGATGTATTTAATGAGCTCTTGGTCCCAATGGTGTTCAAAAGAACGATAAACAGATTTATCCATGGGCTGTAACTCATGCGTGGTGTTTGACGGAAGACAATATAAAGTAATGCCACATTTCTCAGCTTCCTCGACAATAGTAAAGTTCAGGTGGCATTTTGCACCATCGAATATGAGAAGACATGGCCCTGATGTTCTGTATTAATGCAAATGATTAATAAAGTCTATGAAAGTTTCTGTCGTCATATTTCCTTTTGGCGTCATCTTTACTAGAGAGCCTGGTGGTAAATTATCTTGGAATTCTGGCTTTAGTCTCTTGCCTTTAAACAGTATCATTGGCGGAACGGCTGACCCTATAGCATTTCCACATCCTACCACAGTCACACTTTCAGCATGCTCATTCGCTATTTGATGAACTCTCTTTCTCCCTTTGGCTGTCAGAACTTCCTGCTGGTGGTGCAAAGATATGCGACAATTTTTTTCATCGATGTTGTAAATGCTTTCAGGTTTATGTTCAATCCCAAGTCTATCCACCACGCTTTTGTATTTGGAAAAGTGATCGCCAACAATATTTTTATTTAATTTTTGAGCACGTGCTGGATTCATCATCTGTGCTTTACGACGTGCTAATTCAGGGTGTCGTTTGAGAAACAACCTCAACCATTTCTTCCCCGCTACATTCTTGGAATCATTGAAAGTGTTTGGAATTTTCTTAATTTTACAGAATGAAAAAGCCTGTACGCGCAACATCTTTGAAGTCATCGGCATTCCAACATCAGCCAAACGTATGATTCTTCTGACAAGTCCAGCTTCTTGTTCTGTAGTCAATATAGCCGACCGACCAAGCTTTCGTGTAGTCGAACCACTCTTTATATGGTTGCGTAGGGTTCTTCTTGGGATGTTGTATCTGGCTGCAGCAACATATGTAGATAATATACCCCTTTCTACCATTTTAACAGCGATTTCCATCTGTTGCGTAGTCCATTGAGCCCTTTTTTTCCTTGTGGTAGAACCAGTTTCCATGATGTTACTGAAAAACAATGGTTTACTATTTTACTGTGATACTTTTCTAACTGACATAAAACATTGTCCTAATAAGGCCTATACATTTTTTTATAGGCTTTATTAGGGCATGGCACATGGGTAAACAAAACAACAATTGTATGAAATACATAGATATTACAGCTTTTTCACTTATATGAGGAGATGGCTAAACTTATAATTATCCTATAGACAAAACACAGCGCACCATGTACGAATAAAAATAAAAATACTTACTGTTTACTCTGCCAGAATTTTATAAAAACAAGCGTGCGCTCCGCGTCGTGGTTGTTTTCGACTACAGGTTAGAACACGCTCGCGGCATGAGCCGCTTGCAGCGCTTGTGTGCGTTAGTTAATGTATACGCACACATCTATAAACATCGGCGGCAATTTGAAATCGTGAAGCGGGAAATTTGAAAAATAGGCCTTATTAGGACATAGGCCTTATTTGGTGACCTTACCTTATAAGAATTCCAAGTATAACCGACTAATGCAAGTCCATTTTCATTGATCATCATCAGCTCTTTTAGGTCCCCACTGCAGGGGCTCAGGCCTTCCTTATGGATGGTTAAGGAGGATGGGCCATGACCCTCCACGCTGGCCCAATGCGGATTGGGGGATATTAACGACAGCAAATGGACCAACGGCTTAACGTGTCTTCCGAAGCACGGAGTAGCTCGAGATAATGATTTTTCGGTCACCCATCTCGTGACCGACCCTTGCGAAAGTTGCTTAACGACAACACTACGCCACCGAGCTACTTACTACGCCACCGAGCTACTTTCATTGATCGATAGGGCCCAAATGCGGAGTACAGCGATTTTAGTGCTTATTTTCAGTAGGCAGTCATTGCCTGCCATTGGTTTATCCACTATTGCAAGCTCATATACATTGGTCGATACAGATCCGAATGCGATGTGCGGCGATTTCTGTGCTTGTTTTCATTAGACGAACATTGACTTTTATTGGTTTACCGACTAGTTCAATCTCATTTGCATTGGTCGATCGTATCTGCATGTGGAGTGAGGACGATATCTATGCTTACTTTCAGAAGGCGATCATTTGCTGTCATTGGTTTATCCACTACTGCAAGCCGCATATAATAGGGCCCACATGCGGAGTACACCGATTTTTGTGCTCATTTTCATTAGACGTTCATTGACTGTCATTGGTTTCCTGGATAATGCCATAATATTGACATTGATCGATAGAGGTCTTATTACATTAGTGTGTGACTAAAACTTTTCAGTTATGCTCGCATGCATAGTGCGAGTGATCTGATGTAAATATATCATTATAAAATTCTATCGTTAAAACAAAAACCCTTCACCTATTGTATCATCACTTCCAAAAAGGTAAAATGTGATAGTAGCTTCCTTTCCCTAACTTTCAAAATTGAAGATTGATAAACCTTCGTAAAAATATGCTGCAGACCCCAGTGAACATCTTCAACAACAACTTATTTGAATGGGTCACATCGTGAGATATAGCACATTTACAAATCCGCAAATATTACTTCGTCATTCATACAACCACTATGAAAACACAAAAAAGTATTGGATATGTTCTAAGGTATTAAAATTTAATGTTTCTACGGAACCGTCGGTGCGCGAATCCGAATCGGACTTACCCGTTCTTTATACTAATTGGTATCTAAACAAGTTAAATACACATTAAAAGTATATCTTTATCTATTGTAGGTTAGCAAATTATACATTTTTGTCTTTCTTTTCTTATTATTATAGAAATATAAAATAAACTACATACAAATAAAATATAAAATTTAATGTCCATATATAACTAAAAATTCGCCAGAGCACCCAATAGTAAGTGATTTGCAAGGACTTCTATTTAATGTATAGTGCAACGATCTGGAGTTCGGTGCTGTGACGTCACAAGCAAGTCGGAGGCTACAGACATTTCGTCCGAAAACACGCAATTTTAAATAATCTTTACCTTGGTCATTTATTAACGAATTTCAATTTTGTTTTCTGATTTATTTTAGTTTTGACTTATATTTTTGTTACATTGGATTAAATATAGTAATATCAACATCATGAAACATCTCAATTAGGCCACTGGACTCAACGTCGAACACAGCATTGTCACAGCAAAGAGGTTCAATCAAATAAAACATTGTTACCTTTTGAAGTAAGTTTTACGTACATTTGGATTCTGATTTCATTATAACACTGCTATTGTCTTATTTAGAATGTTTAATAGCTGTACATTTGTGATTATCTATTAATAATATTAGTTTTGGGGGCAATAAATTACGATTTTTAATATTACTTTATTTTCGCGTGTTATACGCGAAAATTAAGCAGATAAATAAAGCAGAATTATAATAAGCTACCTCCATTGTATTATATATTATCGAAAAATATGTTTGTTTGGAGTTGTAGTGGCATTTCGAAAACAGACGTCGTTTCCATTTTCGTCTTCATTACAAAACCCAAATAAATATAGTCAAAACAAAACAATTTGTAATAAAAATAATGTAAAACATCTCCTCACTAACGATATGATGTAGATAGAAGGAAATTTATTTGTCATTATATAACGCTTCTGGCATCACTGAACTATAAATTTGCATCCTGACTTGACTATCTTACGTAATCGTCATGCTTATAGAACATGGACTGACTGTAGATATATTTCAAATCATCATGTCAACTTGATATTTCCTTACGAGATCGAATAAATTAGAATAACTGTGTAATGTCTGCGACTTTCCTACACTAGCCAGAGATGCCTGCCCTATAGTAGCGAGGTTTAGAGGGCATGCCTACACAGATACTCGAGGGTATGCCCGTCTAGTGAATTGCTCGCTTTATAACCCATTGCTTTCATAACATTCCTCAGTATACTTACATTAGCTATCAAGAATAACAAGAATCAGTATTAGTCATTTAATTGAAAGATTTCATTGTTGCGTTATCGATGTTTGAAACACTGATTTGTCTTTTATGACCACCTGCATAAGATTATTATGACAAAAATTCGTTTTATCAATTAATCTGCTGCAGGTGGCCGTGCAAAAATTAACTACTAAATAGGGCAAATATTTCAATTTTATCTATACTAATATTATAAAAAAGGAAGGATTTGATTGTTCGTTTGTTCGCATTAAGTATTCGAGACAATTTGGCTGAATTTAAAAAATCTTAAGAACAATAGAGGCGTATAGAATATTTTCAAAATCATTGAATATATAAATTGATTATATTAGGTAATCTACACATTAGGGGCACTCGCATGAAACTCCATATAGTCTTTTAATTTATTTAGTAAAAAATATTATATAATGTATTTTAAAATCAATTTTTCACACGATCATTATTAGACGATATCACATGTACTGCTTAGACACTGAATAAAGTAGCTAAGACATATATGTCATTATCATCGTCATCAGCCCTTTCTCGTACTCGCTGCAGTGGCTCAAGCTTAACTGATGATGAGATGAGGAGGACAAGGACTCCAAATGAAGCCGGGACCAATGGCCTTCCGAAACACGGAGTAGCTCAAGATAATAATTTTTGGTTTTTGATATTTGAGAACGTTGCTTAAAAACAACGAACGCGTGCCGCGGCGCCACCGAGCTTCTCTCTACTCAGACTACTAAGACATAGCAACCTGTATCAGTGAAATATGAAACAACAAAGTTAATATAACACCAAGACCTCAGACAATATAACAATAACCTTGGAACCTTGATTAAGTACTCTTATAAAATTATTCAACTTATTTACTTGTCTTAAGTTCCCATATGAAATTATTTTTTGTAACGATCATCATCATCATCAGTCTATTGATGTGCCCATTACAGGGATAGGCCTTCCCTATGAATGGAATCAAATAGGGAGAACGGGCTACGGCCCACCACGTGGCTCCAGGAAGGTGTAAACGATTGCAAAAATTGCCTAGATTAATTGCGCAAAGTCGAGCTCACAGCTATACTAATTATTATTAATCATATAAACGAATCGAGATAAGATTTACTGTAATATAAATATCTCGAGAATGTAAGGAGCATCATCAGTTCAATAGAACACTCCATCACCATGCTGCGACTGTTTGTATTCTTGGCTACGATCTTGGTCGTCCGGGGCCAATCCACTGCTGTTAACAGATGTGAGTTGTGTTCTATGTTTACTTTTCATTATCGTCATTTGCTAGTTTGCTATTAAGCCTTTGCTGTTATTTTAAACCGACCTCAAAATCTTAGAATGAGATCTGAAAGTATTTTAATGCATAAGAACCGATTTCTCCACGAATTGTTGACAGATTTTTTTATCTTTTAATTGAAAGCTTTAAAAATTTTGACAAGGTTTTATAAAAATGTCGAAATAGTATGAGTTAATTTATTTTTATGACAAAGAATCCGGAGGCGTTCTGAAAAATTACAAAAACACTTCAACGACATATATATCTCGTTGAAAAAACACAAGATCGCGTATTTTGCTTTCCTATATGAGCATAATATCGTATGTGAATACTAAAAAAGCGAGGCATCGTCCTACATGTCGCCGTGGGCCAGCGGCTTCGCCTCTGTGGCATTGTGTTATATATATATTTATATATATAATCCTTTCTCTTTAATCACCCTGTATATTGCATTAAAATCCGTTGTGGGAAATATCTCACCATAAACGACTTTCTTTTATGTTAAAAACAGAAAAGTTAAAAAATGGATGATTTAACATTAAAATTTTTTTTTGATCTATGTATATTTTTCTAGGTAATGTGTTCCCTGGGGAGCTGCCACTGAATGTCTACATTGAAGGCTGCGTTACACCACCATGTCGTCTGCCGCAACTTCAAGATGCTGTGCTGAATATCGTCTTCAGAGCTCGTAAGCTTATTTGTTTACCAGAGTATCAGCGCTGTTGCAGTTGGTTCCCATTTGATCTTCACTTTAGGCCCTAAAGTTTCGGGGATCAAGGACCGACTTACTCTAACATTCTATACCATACATGTTTTTCTCTCTATCTTATTCTGACTTACTGTGTATTTTCGTTACTGTAATATGATGACAAATAAAACTTGTACCCTACTTATATCATATTTTTTTTGCAGCTCGTGCAATGCAAAGTATGACCACATTAGCTACAGCATTTCTGGGTATTATACCAGTACCATATCCTTTGGGTGACAACGCGGTCACATGCAACTTTCTTCAGAACTCCTCGTGCCCTGTTGTTGAAGGGGAGATCCTAATCTATCAGCTTAGAATGTACATTGAACCATTCTTTCCAGTGGTATGTTAATTATTCTTATTACTAATATTTATAATAACATATTATGATATAATGCAACATAGAATAATTTTTTGTTATGCATAACAGCTTACGCATAAATTTACGCTCGCTTTTTCTTTTAATCAATTCTAAAATAACGTAAACGATTAATCAATACATTCATATCTAGTTTTTATGAAAATATTGATGTTTTAACATATAGTGAATTAAAAATCATGCACATAGGCCAAAATTTAAAAATACTTTAAACTCTACTACACATGCTTACTCAAACTCTAGGAACAAAAAAGAAAACAATAGAAAAAAAAAAACATTAGACATAGAGATATGACTAATTTACTTTAAACATTGTCTAGAAAAAGAATGGATCCGATATAGACTATCAAAATTGTATTAACGGCGTTAGCATATTAATCCGAACTGGAGGAGGAAAATGAAATGAATTGTCTTTCCACCTCACAAATAAATTACTTTGATGATTCGACGAGTACTTACGTGAAGGGGTTCTATGTTTTTATATGAAACATAGATAAATCTAAAATTAATTTCTCACACTTCCTTCGGTGCGGTCGGTGACGAAATTTCATAGCTATTTGTCTAACTTTAATGCATATACCTATCTCAAAAGAGAGAGAAAGTACTTTGTTTTGAAAAAAGAAAATAAGAGGCAATCATTTAAAGAATTTTCTTGCCTTTCAGGGAACTCGAGCCACCATCGAGTTTAGAATAGTGGACCAGAATAATGATGCTGTCATATGCATAAGAGTACCAATTCATGTAGTGGAAGCTGTCGCGGGTAGCTCTGATGGCAGAAATGGCACTATAATATCAACCCAAAATTAAACAAATGTGTTAAGCCCTAGAGGCCTTAATAAATTAAAGGGATTAATGTTTTTAATAAAAATTATCTTACTGAATATAAGTATTCATTATTATTATTATTTATTATCGTCAAATTTATGCAAACGTGTATAATCCCCGCAAATTGCTATTGCGCCTAACCACCATTTTGGTGACGTAATTGCGTTTAAAAATCTGTACGCTTTGCAAATAAACACTAGTAGACGAGTACACTTATTGAGTTGGGTTATATTGAGATCACTCGTCATTATAGTTGGTTTTGATTGTTATTTTTAAGTCTTGTTGTTACTTGCTATAGATGACTAGATACTAGACTAAATGCGACTGTTTTATGATTTTCACAACAAGTAAACATAATTTAACTAATAATAAATACCTATATCTAATGAATTTCATTTCATTAATATTTTCTAAAAATTCATGCTATAAATTAACAACCTTGAGAGTTATTATATTATATTTATACATTCTATTTTCATATGGCGTCACGTGGGTGTTCCAGGTTCCAGCGCATTAGCAATTTACGATATTTATACTTCTAGATTGAAGCATATACGTATATCTATACGTAGTAAAACTATTTCTATTGTATTACTACTGTACGAATGAACATGATACGTTTCTTAAGAAATGACGTGTATTTTCGAAATGCCACTACAGCTCCAAAGAAACATATTTTTGATAATATATAATGCGACGGAGGTAGCTTATTATATTATCAAATAAATATGTTCTAATGGTGGGATCAGCAGTAGCACTAGATGGCGCATTGAAATCCTGGTATAATTATTCTTAACTTACGATTTTATTTGCAAATAATATACATAAACTCTCGGACCAAATAAAAAGTTGTGCCTAACAGAAAAGTGAAGCCTACAAAACTACGCCTCGGCGTATTCGTACACAGTTTCACGCACACATACATAACGAAACTACGCCTTTCTTATCAGTCTAACTAAAGACAGTGTGCGGAACGTTTCTTTGTAAAAAAAATCAAAAATTTCTTACTAACTGCCGAATTGTGTAGTAAAAGGTTGTAAAAACCAATCCTCAAAAAATAAAAAGCAGGATGGCATCAAATTACACACATAAGTATTGGAGAAAACTTACATTTTCAGTAATTTAAAAATTAAATTTAAGTAATTGCTTGGAACACAAAACCTCAGCCAAATATTACCACCGTTAAACGTTATTATTTACCCCGAAATAATAATAATAAGATTTATTTCTCTCCACAAAGTTTTACACTTATAAAATACAATCAATCTTAAACCTAATTTTGGTTGTGGATCGCTGTTGCCTGTTTTAGGTAATTAAAACCTGTTTGTTGCACAGGACACCAGGTCCCCATCTCTCAGTGGTAATTACAATTTACGACATAAAAGTTCAAAAATTATACATAAGAAAAAATTACAGACAAATCAAGAAATGCAGTTAAGAGGGCACGTAAGCTATAGTTCAACCAACTTTATTGTTTTGAACAAAGAAACAACTTCTAAACAAGCTGCAACTAAAAGTGGGCAAAGTGCATTACATATGTTTGATTATTAGCTGGTTCAATATAAAGAAGTCAAAGTCAAAGTCAAAGTCAAGTCAAAGTCAAAGTAAAAATAATCTTTATTCAAATAGACTTCTTAAAAATACTTTTGAATCGTCCAACATCTTTTTTCCCTACCGCTCGTTCAGGACGTCTTTTGGCTGATAAGAAGAACGAGCAAGAAACTCACCAGCTCTAATAGGAGTAATGTCATTTAAAAAAACCATGCCATTACCAGATCAATACATTATAAATAAAGAGAGAAAAAAGCAACTATGGTTTTATAATGATAACATAATCATTTTATAATAATGGAAGCAAGATAATTTTTGATATCTAATGAGTTAAGAAGTAATCACCTATCCAGTTGCTGGATCATCTCAAGTCCAAGCATTCTTATCTGTTATATAATCTGATACCTTATAGTAAGCTTTTTTAATAAGTATTATTTTAATAGTAGATTTAAACTGCATGATATCTAATTGTTGTATTTTGCTTGGGACCTTATTGTAGAAGCGCACACAAAGACCCCTGAATGAGTTATTAACTTTTTGTAGTCTAGTGACAGGCACCGTTAATTTATTTTTATTTCTTGTATTTATATTGTGTACATCTCTTTTTATAGAAAACAAACCAATATTGTTACGAACGTACTTAATGTTCTCGTATATGTATTGAGAAGCAACAGTCATTATGCCTATTTACTTAAATTTCTCGCTCAAAGAGTCCCTAATCCTAAGATTATAAATTGATCTAATTGCTCTTTTTTTAAGTACAAAAATCGTTTGTATGTCCGCAGCATTTCCCCACAATAGGATTCCGTACGACATCACACTATGAAAGTAACTGAAGTATACTAATCTGGCAGTGTCTATGTCAGTTAACCTACGTATCTTCATTACGGCATATGCTGCAGAGCTAAGTCTACTCGACAATTTATCAATATGTGGGCCCCACTATAGTTTAGAATCTAATGTTATTCCCAAAAATACTGTAGTATCCACAAGGCCCATGTTCTTATCTTTTATATTAACATTTAAATCTACTTTTTTAACATTAGGTAGTGCAAATTTTAGACATTTTATTTTTCCTTCATTAAGGAGAAGATTATTTACATTAAACCAATGTACTACTTTAGCGATAGAATTGTTCACATCATCATTAAGAGGTAACCCTCTTTTAATTTTAAACAAAAGTGAAGTGTCATCCGCAAACAAAACTATTTCGTGATCATCCCTTACGAAATAAGGCAAGTCATTTATGTAAATCTAAAACAAGAATGGACCAAGTATTGAGCCCTGCGGAACACCCATCTTAACTTTCGATCCAGGGGATCTTTTGCCATTGATGTCAACCCTCTGTACTCTGTCAATTAAGTATGAGACAATCAAATCCAATGAGTTATCTCTAAATCCATAATAATGAAGTTTCCTAATCAATGTTTCATGAAAAACACAATCAAATGCCTTGGATAGGTCGCAGAAAACACCTAACGCATCATGTGAATCCTCCTACGCATTAAAAACTTTTTGTGTTAACTCGACACCGGCTTCGGTTGTTGAGCGACCCCTTATAAAACCAAATTGTTGTCGATTCATAAGGTTATTCGTGTAAAAGTATGTTTGTATTTGATCCAGTGTGATTTTTTTTCAAAAATCTTACTAAACGTAATACGTCTAAAGTTAGTAGGGTAGCACGGATATACGTCTAAAGTTAGTAGGATCAAATGTGACACCCGATTTGTGTAAAGGAATAATTTTACTATATTTCATGAGCTCAGGAAAAATACCACAATCATAACATTCATTAAATATATAAGCTAGGATTGGAGCTATCTTCTCAATTACCGATTTAGAAACTTCAATGGAATTACCCTATAAATCAGCGGTTTTCTTTTTCTGTAGCTGATTAAAAGATTTTATTATATCTTTAAAATCAATGTGTTGAGACTTAAATTGGCTATTACAATTATTTAAACTTTAAAATAGATTCCGCAACAGTGGAAGAGGAATTCAAAAATTGTGTAATTAAGACCGGAATTTCAGTAAATAAATTTTCAAATACTGTAGCAACTTCAAGATCTGATGTTACTTTTATGTTATCAATGTTTAAATTAAAATTTATATTCCGGGATTTTTCTCTGAAGAATATGAATATATGTAAGGGTGTATGGATGTACGCATGTTTGTTACTATTTCACGCAAAAACTAGAGAAAGAACTTCGATGAAGTCCGGTATATGATCAATTCCAAGCTTGAATTAACTAAAGAGTATCTAAAAATTTCACAGCTCCTCAAAAAAAATCTCTGGGCAAAAGATGTATTCATTTTTTTTTGTTGTGACTACTAGATTGTTACGACGAGACTAGCCTTGAACGTAAATTGTTAAGGTAGTAGCTAGTACATAAAGTTGTCTGACTGTTAGAACTTGACAAAATTCATAAAGCATGTCAGTAGGGTACAAGCGGGGCTTACTACAGCAAACCTTAAGGACAGCGCGTTGCGCACGTTCAGCTAACATTAAATGTGACTTAGCTACCCCACCCCAGGTGGTTATGCAATATCTCAGGATAGACTCACAAAGTGCTATATAAGCCATTTTC